TTTCTCTACCATTTGATTGTCACACCCTTTCTCCTTTCCTCGTATTCATTACACCTTCCCCCTTTCCTCCTGTTTACCACCCCTTCCTCCTTTCCCCTTTCCTCCTGTATACCATTCCTTCCTCCTCTCCCTTCCCATCCTATTTATCACTCCTTCCTCCATTCCCCTTGTTTATCACTCCTCTCTCTTTCTCCCTCTTTCGCAGACCGAGCAGAAAAAGTTCCTTTCTTCACACAAACACCGCCTGGAGTCTTACACGAAAGCGGCGTCGCAGGTGAAGAAACACAAGAAGAAGAACAGGGCGAATAAAGGAGCCATGGATAAGGAAATAAAGGTGAGGCAAAGAGGAAACGAGAGAGAATTGGGGAAACAGGGAAACGGGGAAAAAGTATGGAATGTTTGATGTAAAGATGTTGAGTGTGAATGAGGTAGAGGTGGAACTGAGAAGAAGAGGAAGAAGAGGAGAAAGAAAGAAGAAAAAGGGGATATGAAAGTAGGAATTATGAAGAAGGAGAAGACGAGGAAGCAATGATACGAAATGGGAGGGAAAGGGGAACCGAGAAGAAGAAGAAGAAGAAGAGAAAGAAGAAGGAAGAAGAAGAGGATGAGGGAGAAAAGGAAATATGAAGGAGAAGACGGGTAAGGGAAACCGAGCCAACAAAGGAGAAGAAGAAGAAGAGGAAGAAGAAGAGGAAAAGAAGAGGAGAAAGAAGAACAAGAAGAGGGAGAAGACGAGGAGAAAGGAGAAGAAGAAGATGATGAGGAAGAAGAGGACAGAGAAGAATGAGTGGAAGAAGAAAACGGTACAACCACGGAGGGCAAGGGAAAGCGAGATGGAATGATAATGATATGAACAATAAGAATAATAAGAAAAAAGAAGAAGAAGAAGAAAAAGAAGAAAAAGATCAATAAGAACAAGAAGAACAAGAAGAACAAGAAGAACAAGAAGAACAAGAAGAACAAGAAGAACAAGAATAAGAAGAACAATAAGAACAAAAATAAAAACAAGAAGAAGAAGAAAAAACGATAAAAAGAAGAATAAGAGTAAGAGTAAGAATAAGAGTAAAAATAGGAAAAGAATAAGAATAGGAAGATAACAGAGGACAAGGGAAACCGAGCCAGCGACACCTAGCGACCGTTTCCTTCCCTCGGAAATCTGACTCTGAGACTTAAATTCCAACCCTTTATAGACATTCTATGCAATCTAACCCTATATATACAATCTAACCTTTATATACACATTCCAACCCTTTGTAAACATTCCAACCCCTTAAAACACATTCCAACCCCTTAAAACACATTCCAACCCCTTAAACCACATTCCAACCCCTTAAAACACATTCCAACCCCTTAAAACACATTCCAATCCCTTAAAACACATTCCAACCCCTTAAAACACATTCCAACCCCTTAAACCACATTCCAACCCTTTAAAACACATTCCAACCCCTTAAAACACATTCCAATCCCTTAAAACACATTCCAATCCCTTAAAACACATTCCAACCCCTTAAAACACATTCCAACCCCTTAAAACACATTCCAACCCCTTAAACACATTCCAACCCCTTAAAACACATTCCAACCCCTTAAAACACATTCCAACCCCTTAAAACACATTCCAACCCCTTAAAACACATTCCAACCCTTAAAAACACATTCCAACCCCTTAAAACACATTCCAACCCCTTAAAACACATTCCAACCCCTTAAAACACATTCCAACCCCTTAAAACACATTCCAACCCCTTAAAACACATTCCAACCCCTTAAAACACATTCCAACCCCTTAAACCACATTCCAACCCCTTAAACACATTCCAACCCTTAAAACACATTCCAACTCCTTAAAACACATTCCAACCCCTTAAACACATTCCAACCCTTAAAACACATTCCAACCCTTAAAACACATTCCAACCCCTTAAACACATTCTAACCCTTTATACACATTCCAACCCCTTAAAACACATTCCAACCCCTTAAAACACATTCCAACCCTTAAAACACATTCCAACCCCTTAAAACACATTCCAACCCCTTAAAACACATTCCAACCCCTTAAAACACATTCCAACCCTTAAAACACATTCCAACCCCTTAAAACACATTCCAACCCCTTAAACACATTCCAACCCCTTAAAACACATTCCAACCCCTTAAAACACATTCCAACCCTTTTTACACATTCCAACCCTTAAAACACATTCCAATCCCTTAAAACACATTCCAACCCTTAAAACACATTCCAATCCCTTAAAACACATTCCAACCCCTTAAAACACATTCCAACCCTTTAAACATATTCCAACCCCTTAAAACACATTCCAACCCCTTAAAACACATTCCAACCCTTAATACACATTCCAACCCCATAAAACACATTCCAACCCCATAAAACACATTCCAACCCCATAAAACACATTCCAACCCCATAAAACACATTCCAACCCCTTAAAACACATTCCAACCCTTAAAACACATTCCAACCCCTTAAAAC